AGACCATTTCTCTAGTTTGTCCAGATCACTTTGAATTTTGACCCTTTCCTCCAAAGCACTTGCAACCCCTCTCAGCTTGGTATTATTTGCAAACTTAATAATTGTACTCTCTATGCCACCATCTAAATCATTGACAAAGATATTGAACAGAACTGGTCCCAAAACTGATCTCTGCAGAACTCCACTTGTTATGCCCTTCAAGCATAACTGTGAACCGTTAAACATTTTCAGAGTAGTTATTATCTAGACAGTTATACACCATGTCCATTGACTGTAGGGTTCGGTATCAATAGGACAAATGTCAATTCTCTATACCGTAATTCTAGGGCTTTAACAGAGCCAGCATTTCTCAGTCCTCATATCTGTGGTTTATTGAGTACTAAAATCTTCTTAGTGCTCTATGGAACAAAGAGGCAGCTAGGGTCCCAAATAATACTGAGCTGTATTACGGCTGCCTCATTGAGGGCCAGAATCTGCTGTCCCCTTACTCATGTTGACTAGTCCCTTCATTTGTAAGTTGTCCCATTGCAATACCTTGCACATGAAGGTACTGCTCAACATGCGTAAGGGTGGCAGGATCAGCTGTTAGCCTTTGAGCTGCTACACTCCTTCTCTGTGGTCAGTGTTTTGGATCCTTTAGAAATCATGGGTGGGTTCTTACCACAAGTACTTTGCTTTGGCCTAACTCTGCTAACATTGTAGGGTATGTCTACACTTGCCCCCTAGTTCGAACTAGGGAGGCAAATGAAGCATACCGAAGTTGCTAATGAAGCGAGGGATTTAAATATCCCACGCTTGATTAGCATATTCGCGTCTGGTTGCCATTTTAAAAAGCCGGTAACCTGAATTAATTTGCCGTGTGTAGATGCAGTAGTCCGATCCAAAACCCTTCCCTCCTCATTGCACGAGGAGTAACAGTTAATTTGAGGGAAGGGTTTTGGATCAGATTACCGCATCTACATGCGGCGAGTTAATTCAGGTTACTGGCTTTTTAAAATGGCGACTGACCGCGAATATGCTAATCAAGCACAGGATATTTAAATCCCATGGTTCATTAGCAACTTCAGTATGCTTCATTTGCCTCCCTAGTTCAAACTAGGGGGCAAGTGTAGACATACCCATAGTGAACAAAACTGAGTTTTACCTTTTACTTCAATGGAAACAGCTAGGCCAGAACCAAGAGTTTTGGGAGTCCTGCCTTAAACATTTTGAACACTTATTCTGGGGAATTAAAAGGCTGTAAATTCATTCAGATTCTTCTTTTGTAGAAAGGAAGAAGGTGAGCCAAAACATTGCTGGTAGTCAATATTACTAGTCCTGATCCAGGGATCCAGGTCCTGGACCAGAAGCTGTTGTCTTCTAACTGCTGGTCAGTGGCTTATGTGGGTCTTGTTGGTTTCTAATTATTTAGTCTTGGTGGGTTTCTAATAAACAGGTGCCCATAGAACCAACCACCCACTGCAGCTGGTGCTAGTGAACATATTTTCTAACCCTAATCCTCTCTGTTGATTAAAGGCAAGGTGGGGGAGGAGGGAGAGGAAGGGGAAAGTTGGCCAACTGTCCCTTTAAATTGCCTTTGGAGCTCTGAGCAGCATTCTCTGGGTGGTGCTAAGGGCTGGAGTGGGGCATGGTGCTGTCTGGGTGGTGCTGAGGCCTGTCTGCTCCAGCTCTGCCCCTTCTGGCCGAGGCCCCATTCCTTCCTGGAGTGCGGAGACTGCTGTATAACTGGCCATGGGGCCCAGCAATTCTGTCAGCCTCCCTGATTTTGGGCAATGCCCTGAACGAGGAGTGTAGAGTAAACTGCACTGCCCCAAGAGTGGCTGTGGGCACCCAATTACTCCTGTGTTCCTCTCCTGGTTTGTATGCAGGTGCTGGAAGGGAAACTACTGAAAGCCTCAAAAGGTGCAGTTTACTTCCCTTAGACCTTGCATTTGGCCAAGGGAGTGGAAGAGGACAGACAAATCTCTGTCTTTTCTGCCTATTTGCGTGCAGGGCTGTATCCAGTGACCACAGGTCCATCAGCGTAGGTCCATCAATGGCTATTAGCAAGAATGGGTAGGAATGGTGTCCCTAGCTGCTGTTTGTCAGAGGGTGGGAATGGGTGATGAGTGGAATTGCTTGATGATTCCCTGTTCACTTCTTCTGGGGGCACCTAGCATTGTCCACTGTCTGAAGACAGGATACTAGGCTAGATGGAACCTGATGGGCTAGAATGGCCATTCTTATATTATGCAAGAGATGGACCCATGATTGAGGCTGTTTGACTGAGTGTGTGTGTGGGGGGGTGGGGGGTTGACCTGCTGAGCAGACTCTCATCTCATTCTCCTGCTTGGTTGAGTAAAGCAAGAGCACAGCCAAGCCCTACATGTGTTTGGGACTAAACTCTGCTTTCCATGTAGAGGGGTCTACTTGGAGGGTTGTGTCATATCAGTGGGGCTTTGTTGGGAAGCTTGCTGAGTTGCTGCATGCCTGTGGTTAAAGAGAGGACTCCATTTGAGTTACATTAATCTGGGACCTTACACCAACCAAGTCCCTGCAAATAAATGTGAAGTTTCTTGAGAAATCTTCATCATTAAGGGCAGGTGGGCAAGTCCAACTCACCTCCAAGGGCCTGCACTGCTTTACTGCCATTCTGAATTAGTGTTGCCCCATTGATTGATTTGACACCCACTGGTATAGATTTGGTGCAGTACAGTGGAGTGGAATCAAGCTCCCAAATATTATATACTGTAGACTTCCTTTACGTTTCCATTTCTGAGTCCTGCCATTTGGAATTTGATGAAACTTAAACATGTTGAACTAGAGTTCTTTGCTTGCCCTTGCATGATCCTTTCAAAAATTCTCTTTGGTCTGATGGTATTTCCTTGTCTCAGATACTTTAATTCTTGAATGGTTGCCAGTGAAATGAAGTCTTGGTTGTGTAATTCTTCACCTGAGTGTTATAAAGTTGACACTTTTATGCACGGTAACATTGGGAATAATCCTATGCCTCTAGGACACAGAAGCAAGATGATAATGTATAAATATTTTCCAGATACGACAATGGTTTAACATATGCAATGTTGAATAACAACACTAGTGATAACATTACAATGGAGGGCAGTTGAACAATTTAAAAGCACTTTGCACAGAAAACCTTAAATTTGGCAGCTTTGTAATGATGTCCTTGCTAAGATACACTAATGTTGCACCTTATTTGCTGTCATTTAAAACTTGTCTCTTTCCTTTAATACCTTCAGTTTAGAGGAACTTCATCTGAAAACATGTAAACGTATATTCAGTGGTGGCTCATCAGACACATTTGAGTGCTCAGTGAAAACAATGTCTCCTGGACCAAAGTGTCTAGAGACAGTGACTGTGTGATAGCATAAAAGTTTGAGTGGGATACTCACACACAAAGTAAATAGTGAAGGCTTGAGTGTAGTTAAGCAAATCATTCCAAATGAGTAAATGAATCAAACCTAAACAGAGGCGGTAACTAATGTATGACACTATTACAGCCACTGTTGGTAGAAGAATGGAGTGTACTGGTATTAGCAGTGCAAAGAAAAGCTTGTGCTGAAATGCCTGTGAAAACTGGAATGTACTCTATCAAGCCTCTGTTCTCTTGTGGACTTGAGAAATAGAAGAGCTAGATAAGGACAGCAGTTCCTGGCCCCGCCCCCTAATATGTTGCCTTGGAGCCGGGGATGCAGCAAGCTCTTTCAACTGCTTCTATTTAAAGGGCTTGTGCCTTCCCCGCAGCTGTCAAGCAACAGAAGCCACAGGGAAAATGTGAGCCCTGTCAATGGAAGCCATTGAAAGAGCTCGCAGCTCCTGCCCCCTGCTAACGTGATACCTGGGAGCCCAGGGGAGGTGCAAGCCCTTTCAACACCTATTTCAATGCCCCCTTCCGCTCAAGTCTCCACCCCTTCTGGGGAGGCCCACAACCACTTCAAAGATGTCTGAAGTGGCCTCCCCTTCAAAAATTATTGCCCGCCCCTGCCTTAAGCCGAGCTTGGTGGCGTCCCCAGAGTGGGAGGCAGATGGGAGTAAACATTTCCCATCGGCTTCCCTTACCCCTCACAAAAGGAGGAGTACTGGACTCCAGTGGGGGTGCCCTCTGAGTTCCATTAAGCAAGTCTTAACTAGACTTGCTCAATCAAACTCCAGAAGATTGATCATGGCAGCAGTGACCTTCCATGTAGTGAAGACAAGCCCTGAATAAGGTTCTGTTGTAATCCTTTTCTCTTTTGCGGACTTACGTCGCCTTAGTTGTAACAACATTAAATTTCCTAATACATTGAAGATTTGCATGAAGTATGCAAGTCATTCTGTTGCTGTGGCATATGCAAAGCTTTGGGCTGGACGTGAAAGACACAGTTCAGTGGTTTTGGATTCAAATGTGCTTAATTTTTTAGGCAAAATTCCTCCTTAGATTTGGGATCTCACTCTAGCAATTTGCATGCAGCACATGCCATGTGGAAATGAAACAGCATAAACAGAATGGACAACGAGTCTAGTCCATATGAAGGACCAAAAGCCTTTACTAAACTAGAGATACATAAATAATGAAGAAAAATGTACTTTCCTAAGGATCTTTTAAAAATGTTTCCCAATGGAAATACACTGAATGCCAATTGCTATGGAGACCAGCAGTGCTTTGTAAGGAACTTTTGGGTGGTACTTTCTGTGCATTTGTGTACAAATAAATGAACTGCTTTTCTCAGTCTGAGAACTCAGCATCACCTTGTGTTTGCATTCCCTTATGAGCTGCTGCTTGGAAGGCAGAAGCAATGCTCTGAGTGTATTGATGGAGTAATTGAAGGACAGGTGACTTGCTACCCTTATATGCCAGTTACCTGTTCTTGAGGAGGTGTTAATGGGGTCTCTGCCTGCAATTTCTTTTGTCGTAGATTTAAAGTGAATTGATAACTCTGAAAAGTGACTTGAAAAATGGCACTGTGGATTTCCATGTTTGTTTCTCATAACTTAGGAGACTTTGTTTCCTTAATTCCTAGCCCGGCCACTCACTCTGTGCTGTGCTGCAGACAAGATCCAAAGACTGGAAGCTGAAGTTAAATAAATACAGGCTGGAGATAAGGTACAAATTTAATGGGGTAAACTAACCACTGGGCTAACTTACTGGGGATATGCTGGAGCCTTCACTCCATGGCGTTCTCAGATCAAGACAGGATGTCTTTGGGCTTCAGGCAAGAGTTGTTCAATGAAATACTTTGACCTGTACTAGACAGGAGGTTGGACTATATCTGTGATTCTGAGTTCTCTTCTGCTCTGCGTTACCACTAGCAATTAGAATTCCACTGGCCAGCATAGGCTCTGGGTTGCACCTGGGCAGCCGGCTTGGTGTTCCATGGGTATATACAGGTAAGAACTGGAAAATAACGTTGTCAAACAATTCTGTTGCACAAGAAGGAATAGAATGCTGCTCACACTCTTAGTTGTGTTGCCTCTGCAGGGATAAAGGGGGGGGGGACCCATTAACTTGTTTTTAGTCACCAAAGTAAAATATGAGTCTGCACAGAAGTAAGAGCTTTGGAGTAAAAACAGTGCCCTTCAGCAATCTTTCAGAATAGAACACCTAACGTGTGTCTTTTCCTGTATACAGGATAAGTCTGCACATCTATTGTGCCCATTGCTATGATGTGTAAGTGTAGGTGAGGATCTGTCTGTGTACATGCACACATATGTAGATGATTTGCTGGTGGCATCAGGGTTTAATTAGTATGATTCTGGGCATTCTAAAGTAAGATCAATGCATACAGTCAGTGACAGGAAAGACGTTCTAACTGAAGTTTAACTCCTCAGAAATCCCTGCCCGTCAGTTCCATTCTAAACCTCCGACACAGGAGAGTCTCAAAGGCTGCTCCCATAAGATAATGCAGTATACACAGAATTAATATCAGTGTTTTACACCAGTAAATGCCATCTTGGTCACCCCATTCAAGTCTGTTTTACAACACAGAGATTTTGTTACTATATTGAGAAAGAGATCAGTTTTACCTTAAGACCTGAAGCCCATAGGACTGGCTTTTCCTGCATTATAGCTGACTATTATAAAGGCAAACTACAGGTCTGTAAGAATTAAATAAGTTAGCGTAAGTGTAGTCAAGTAGAGTAGACCTGTGATGTTTAGCATAGATAATTGGCCTGATGGTTCCCCTTAGGTTATGAGGAACTGGTATCCTGCTTGGGATGGATCAAAACTCCAAAGTTTTGGGTACTTGCCTGAATTGAGACCCCTCCCTCGCCAAAGCTTTCCATGCTCGGCCATCACTACTGTTAATCCAAGCATCTGGTTTCGGAGAAGTGGACAGCTACAAGAATCAGGCACCTCGCAGTCTCTCAAGACCAGCTCCATGCTGCAGGATTCCACAAGGGGCAATTAAAAGAATGACAAGGCATGATTAAAATGGCCGGGGCTCGTTGTTATCCCTCCCTTTGTTTGCACAGCTCCTTATAGTCCTTCAATTGTTTGATGTGCTCTCTCGCTGGGACCTTTTTTTGTCTACAGATGCCACCACTTTCTAATCTCTGCACAATGAATGAAAAGGAGGGGGTTGGGGGCAGGGAAGAGAAAGGAGCTGACAAAAATATAGCAGGATGGCTGAGATTCCTTCCAGTGAATGCTGGAACTGTTGATCCGTTTCTATCTCTCCACCTGCCAGAGGCACACAGAGCTGGAACAGGACTTGATGGATAGAATGAGTCTCTGTCGATCCTCTCTGCAGCTGGTGAGCTGTGGGGGCACAAGCTTACCTTTGCTTCCAGTGGGAACTTGTTGCCCATTTATACCCTTTGTCTGGGACTGCGTGGTATGAGAGTTCCAAGTGGGTGCAAGATTTAGGAAGAGGAAACTGGGATCTCCCTCCAGCTTCCTGAAGAGTCTCCCTGCAATGCTCCTTTCTGGAGGGCTCTTTGGTCTCTCTCCATCCTTTCTCTGAGAGCGGCCTAGTAGTCCCGCTTCAGGCTGTCACATTTTACTAATTGTAAAATTAGTAAGGATTGCAGGCCCTTGCCTGGCTACCTCCTCTTCATTTGCTGCTTCCAGACACTTTTCTGTAGGACTCCTTTATCTTTCCTCCACCACTGCCTCTGTTTTTCTTCTTACTCGTGATGTTGAAGGCAGTGGCCAATAACAGGCTATGTCTAGACTACGGAGTTTTTCCGGGATACTGGAGGTATCCCAGAAAAAATCCACAGCGTCCAGGGAACATGTCTGCTCTTCCAACATTTTTTGTGGAAGAGCAGGTGTGCTCTTTTGGAAGCCCTGTCTTCCTTGTTTCAAGAGGAAGAAGAGCTCTTCTGAAAGAGGGTTTTTTCCCGAAATTCGGCCCAGTGTAGACAATCAGAAAAAGGTACGCAAATCACTCAGCGCAATTTGCGTACCTTTTTCTGAAAAAAGCAGCAGTCTAGACCTAGCCAGAGAGACTGGCATGGGCTCTCCCTTGCAAAAGGCCCCAGCTGCCAATGTTAGCTCTTCGTGGAGCTGTAACTCTAATTTCAGGGCAGCGAGCAGTTTCGTTGGTCGGTTTTTTCAACGCCTCAGCTGGGTAGTGATGTTCCAAGAAGTTTGGATTAACACAAGCAGCTGTGTTGAATCTGTTTCTGGGTTCCTGCTCCCCACCCTTGCTCTTTCCTCCTTCAACTCATTGGCTGTGTCTACATTGGTGCGATCTTGCACAAAAGCGGCTGCTTTTGCACAAAAACTTGCTGTCTGTCTACACTGGCCGTGAGTTCTTGCACAAGTACACTGACGTTCTAATGTATGAAATCAAGCCTTCTTGCACAAGAACTATTATGCTCCTGCTCAGGAAGAAGCCCTCTTGCACAACTGTTCTTGCGCAAGAGGCCAGTGTAGACAGGCAACATGAATTTCTTGTGCAAGAAAGCCCTATGATTAAAATGGCCATCAGAGCTTTCTTGTGCAAGAGAGAGTCTACACTGGCAAGGATGCACTTGCGCAAAAGCACATGCCAGTGTAGACGCTCTCTTCTGGAAGAGTTTTTGCACAAGAACTCTTCCGCAAAAGAGTTATTGCGCAAGATCATGCCAGTGTAGACGTAGCCATTATGTGGTGCTGATGGAGAGAGATGACTAAACCTTTTGTGGCAAGAGATGCTTTTGTTTACAGTGTCTGCTATGGGATAGATTGTGTCTTTACTCACAGAGCTGAGCAAGGGGCACCTGTGCTGTGATACTCCAGGTGAGGAAGCACCCTTTTGTCCCAATTCCCTCGCTGATTCCCATTTGCTCTGGAGAGTCAGTCGGTGCTGGTCTGTTCCAGCACCCCTCTGCTGTGCTGGCCAGCATGTCAGGGCATATACAACTAGTAAGACTTGACCCACTGAATGCCTCTTCTGAGAGGGCATAGGCAGGCCTGGATCCAAGGGCCTAGTAGCCCAAGCAAATGGGTCTGGCATCCTTTTGTGGGGCCATGGTCCAAATCACAATGTAGTCCCATGAACTAGGGGTGGGGAACCTTTTTTGGTCAGAGGCCACTGACCCACAGAAAAATCAGTCCAGGGCTGCACATAAGTGAGAAACAAGCTTGCATTGGCAAGTTTGCAGATGACACTACTCTAGGGGGAGAGGTAGATATAATGGAGGGTAGGGATAGGGTCCAGAGTGACCTAGACAAATTGTAGGATTGGGCCAAAAGAAATCTGATGAGGTTCAACAAGGACAAGTGTAGAGTCCTGCACTTGGGACAGAAGAATTCCAAGCACTGTTACAGGCTGGGGACTGACTGGCTAAGTAGCAGTTGAGCAGAAAAGGACCTGGGGATTACAATGGATGAGAAGCTGGAAATGAGTAAACAGTGTGCCCTTGTAGCCAAGAAGGCAAATGGCATATTAGGTTGCATTAGGAGGAGTATTTCTAGCAGCTCCAGAGAAGTGATTATTCCCCTTTATTTGGCACTGGTGAGGCCACATCTGGAATATTGCATCCTGTTCTGCGACCCCCATATAGGAAGGATGTGGATGCATTGGAGAGGGTCCAGAGGAGGGTAATCAAAATGATAAGGGGGCTGGAGCACATGACCTATGAGGAGAGGTTGAAGGATTTGGGATTATTTAATCTGCAGAAGAGAAGAGTGAGGGGGGATTTGATAGCAGCCTTCAACTTCCTGAAGGGAGGTTCCAAAGAGGATGGAGAGAGGCAGTTCTCAGTAGTGAGGGGTGGCAGAACAAGGAGCAATGGTCTCAAATTACAGTGCGGGAGGTTTCCCTAGGAGGGTGGTGAAGTACTGGAATGGGTTACCTAGGAAGATGGTGGAATCTCCATCCCTAGAGGTTTTTAAGTCTCAGCTTGAAAAAGCCCTGGCTGGGATGATTTAGTTGGGGTTGGTCCTACTTTGGGCACGGGGCTGGACTCGATGCCTTCCTGAGATCTCTTCCAGCCCTAAAATTCTATGATTCAAACAAACCTCTAACCACCTTTCACCAGCATGAGCTCCCCAATGCGGGGTAGGGGGGAACCCCAAGCCTCAGGGGCCAGATCCAGGCAAGCTGAGGGCTGCATCTGTTCCCCACCCCTGCTATAAACCATCCTGAACTAAAAGAGAGGTTAGGGGCTCGGTTATAGACCCCTCCGTCACCCTGGTGAACTCTTCCTCCTCCTGGGACAAGGAATCCCATGAGACCCTTGGTGCCATTGGGACGGAGTTACTCAGGCAAGGAAATGCACCCAAATCCGGGCTCCACCACCTGTCCCTTCATTGATAAAAAATAGGCAGCATATTTCAAAACCAATTTAGGCTGTAACCCCATCCATAGCTCACTCCCAAGACTCCGGTTTCTATATAAAGGCATGACACAGGGGCCCTTTTATTTACATACTCCTGCACTGTACTGGAAAAGAAAAGATCAGGTTTCATGTGAGGCGCTGGAATAACTTCCCTGTGGATATAAAGCAGGAAATGGGCCTGGTGCGGGTAGATCTTGCCATCCCATCATGAACGGCCTGTTCATCAATAAGCCTTTCCCTAGTAGGGTTGCCAGATGGTTTCAACAAAAATACCGGATACACTTGACATTACATCACAATCTACATTACATCTCATTTAGAAAACACCCGACA